TAGAAAGGCCTCATTTCTCAAACATATAGAGAACTGAGTCAAATTTATAGAAATAAGAGCCATTTCCTGATTGGTAAATGATAAAAAGATAGGATCAGTTTTCAGATGAAGTAATCAAAGCTATCTATAGCCATATGAAAAAATACTCTAACTTACTATTGATTAGAGAAATGCAAATTAAAATAATTCTCAGGTACAACCTCATACCTATTAGATTGGCTAATAGGACAGAAAAAGTAAATGGAAAATGTTGGAGGGGATGTGGAAAAAATGAGACATTAATGCACTTTTGCTGGAGTTGTGAACTGATTCAACCATTCTGCAGAGCAGTTTGGAACTATACCCAAAGGGCTACAAAACCATACATACCCTTTGACCTAGCAATACCACTACTGATTTACCCAACTTGAACTGGCCAGCTGGGTCCCTATTCAGGCAGCTCAAACTACTTATAGGTTATGGACACATGTATGGACCATAGGTCCTCAAAGAGGACCATGACAACAGGGAGATGATGACATGACACGCAATTTAGTGGGGGAATGAGGGAGGGCTATTCATAGTTACCAGACTCACTTTCTCCTCCAGTGTCATCTGAGTACAGTGGCCCAATAACAATCAGGATGGCTGGAGATGGCCCAGGATGCAGTGGGAGACCTTAGCCATTTGCCAGTCCTCTTCCCTCTGCTTCCTTGCTCTCCCCAACCCTCTCTTATCCTTCCCTCTCCTCCCCTCTCCTCTCCTATTACCTGAGAGTGTTCTGCCCAAAGTAAGAGAATTTTTGATGGCCGAAAGCTACATAGTTAACTTGGGGTTTACTGGCTAGATTTCTCTCAAAGACCAAGACTTAAGCCGAATTCACTCTGGATCTTGTGGATTGGACAATAGGTCCCAAGCACCACTTAATGGTTATTTTGGGGTCCTCCTGGCTCAGAGTGAATGCAAATAGAAATTGTTTCTCTTTTGGCCAGCAACCCTGAGGGTCTTCCCCTCCTAGTTTGATTTTTTTTAATTAAAGGGGCCATCCCTTGATTCACATGAAATATACTGTGTACAAAGTAACAGCGGTATTGTAAGATGATCAACTGTGAATGATGTAGTTATTCTCAGCAATACAACAATCCAAGACAACTCTGAAGGATTTATGATGAAAAATGCTGTTCATCCCCAGAGAAAGAACTGATGGTGTCTGAATACAGATTGAAGCATACTTTTTTTTTTAACTTTATTTTTCTTGAGTTTTTTTGTCTGTGTTTTCTTTCACAACATGAGAATTATGATGCTTGCCTTCTCGGTGAGGAGGTGAGGAGGGAGGAAGGGAGAAAATTCGGAACTCAAAGTTTTAAAAATGAATTTTAAAAATTGTTCTTACATGTTACTGAGGAAGAGTAAAAATAAAATACTTAAAAAGTAAATGAAAAAGAAACCAGTCATACATAGCACTAAGAAGGAAACATTTAACATTTAAAACTAAAAGAGACATTCAAAGCCATCCGGGCTATCTCTCTTATTTTATAGATGAATAAACCAGATCCCAGGGAGGATCAGTGATTTCTCCAAGATCACAGAGCTAGTAAATTGGAACCCCTGTACCATAAGGTAGTAAATTAAGTATCTGGGCCATTCTTGGTGCTGGTGCCCTGTGCCTGTTATTCATTTTATTTTCTTAAATTTTTTAGTAGACTTAAAGTTAGAAGAACATGTGCTTTTCTAATATGTAACCCAGCTGTACAAATAAAAAATGCATACCAATAATGTACACAGACAGTAATGTAAATGAAATCATGGAGAATGAAAATGGCAGAGCTGGTCAAGACACTCTCCAGGACTCAGCAGCCTTCACATTTATTAATATTTATTGAGCAACTATAATATTCAGATCATCATAAAACAGGGTGACATGCAAAGCCACAAGTGCTGTCTATCCTTATTCAGAGAAACTGTACATACCTGAAAGGAATAGTTATCCTGTTTACTTGGAGGGTTTTGTGAAGGGCAGGAAGGGTATTTTCTTCTTTCTTCCACCCATGGACCAAATAAACAAGGGGCTATAGGGAACAAAAACAAACCTATCTTAATATGGCATCCAAATCTCCCCCCCGGCCTCCCAGCAGGCAAATGGACACAGCCAGTCTCTGCCTTGAAAAGGCTTCCATTTTCTGGGTTTCTGCACTTTTTTCAATCTGCCATATCTACACCTTGCTTTTCAAGGCGGTGGGGGGGGAAGTGCTAAAATATTGATCCCTACTTATAAAACTCATCTGTTATCTTCTTTCTTCTAGTATCTTTAATCATTTTTAGTAATTTAGGCTCCTAAAGAGAATGCTGTTTAAAAAAAAAACTATTACAAGATTACTAATCTGTTTGCATGCTGTATCTGTCCACCTGCGTACTCTACTCCAGTTGAATATAAGTTGCTTGAGAGCAAGACTTCTTTCTCATTTTGTCTTTTTGTGCTTGGCAAATGGCACAATGCCTTTGGTGCAGTATAAACTCAGTAAATGCTTATTGGATCAAGTTGGGAAGAAGATAGAGTCTGTTCCTCAGTCTACGTTTTCTAAATATTGTTTATATAAATTATTTAATTTATAGACTGTTTCTGAGAAAATATGGAATGTTGCTAGGACTCTGAAGGGTCCTATGCCACCTATTGAGAAGGCAATATATACAATACCCATGGCTATACATATGAAAGATAACATTCATTAGGAAATTTGATTCATGATGATGATATGGTATAATGGAAGGAATGAGGAGGCTAAGGTTCTAATACCAGGGCTGCCACTCTATAAACTTAGGTGTAACATAAGAAATCAGATCATTTTAGGTCTATAACTAGAAGAGACATTCTAATTCAGCTTACTCACTTTACAGATGAAGAAACTAAAGCATAATAATTTACCCAAAGTCACACAGGTGTCAAAAGAAGAATTTGAAACCAGGGAATCGAGTGTTCTTACCACTGTACTACATTACCTCTTATTTACTTTGCCATTCTGAACCTCAGTTTCTTCATTTATAAATTTTAAGTAATAATACTTGTATGACTTAACCCAGTGTTGTCTTAACAATTATAATAAATGTATTTCATAAGAGTAAAAATTGATATGTCAACTGTTATTGTCATGTGACTCACTTCACATCCCAGTTCTCTGAGATGTTAAATGAGCAGATTAGACTAAATGGTACCACATCAGGCTGGAAAAGTTGGCTGTCCTTGCTGGGGCATACCAAAGGACCTGATTTATATAGTTTTGGTTAGGTTGGGCAGTATCAAGGAATGTAGGAATTAGTCAGTCTTGACAAGGGTTGTGGTAGGTACAAGACACAGAGGTTGAGATGTCCAAAGCAGTAGATCAGAAAGACATCAGAATGAAGGAGTTCTGTGCTTGGGTAGATCATTGAGACAGATTATTGTGACAAAGGCTAGCATCTAACTATGGTCTTGTATCCTTGAATATTAAGAGTATTGAGGTTGTCTTTGGTCTCTAGATGGAATTTTTTGGTTTTGTTGTTCTTGTTATTGTTATCATCATCATCATTACCATCATCATTTTTAGCTAGCAAAGCATTTTATTTATATTATCACCTTTGATCCTCATTTGAACCCTGTGAAGTAGGTACTACTACCCAATCTTACAGATGAAAAAACCAAGACCCAGAGAAGTTTACCTTACCCAGGATCACTTAGTTCATAAGATTCTGAGACACAATTTGAATTCAAGTCTTCCTGACTCCAAATCTAGTACTCCAGTCTGCTGGGCAGACCCCACCAAATTATGATGGGCTTAATTCTTCTGAGGTCCAAACTTTTTTTTTGGTGAGGCAATCAGCATTAAGTGACTTGCCCAGTGTCACATAGCTAATAAGTGTCAAGTGTCTGAGGCCAGATTTAAACTCAGGTCTTCCTGACTCCGGGGCTGGTGCTTTATCCACTGTACCACTTAGCTGCCCATGGGGTCCAAACATTTAATCCTCAGCATCCCTCAAGCAATTTCTATGTCTACTTTCAATGAGAGGTTCTCATTGTCTAATATGAATTAGGGTACCCTAGAGCATACATGTGTCCAGAGGTCTAGTCATTGGTATCCCTGTCCTCTTATTCATCATACAGTTAGTCCTCTAGAAACCCTACCACTCCTAAAGCAAAGATAAGAGCTGAGCAATGTGGTACCTGCCCTCTAAAGGCCCTTCCAACTCTAAAATTGTATTTGTTCATGATATAATAGCCAGTAATATTTTCCATTACTGACAGCTTTACTTAGCAAGTTTTTCAATGTTTCTCTGATGGACTTGGTCATTTCATCCTGCCACCAATTCAATAGCAGTTATAACTGAGATTACTCAGTGCTTGAGGAATGTCTCTGGGGACAAAAACAAACAAGAGTGGTGATACAGGAAATATTTGAAATATTTTACAAGAAATATTTTTACATGAATAGAATTCATTTTAAGACAAACCTTTCACATCATGCATATGTAATGAATTAAAAAAATATGGCTTAGGTATGGATAGAAACTGTAAAAGAAAGCTATTAGCAATTGATGTGGGCAGACAGTGCACTCTTTGGAGGAAACATGCAGAGGAAACTTACTCTATAAATATAACAAATAATCAATAATGGTACAAATCGCAGATTTTGTATGGAATTTGAAGGCTTACCCTTCTGATTAAAATGACTTCTAAAGATTTCAGTGTGTAGTTTTGGTATTGATCAGACCCCAAGAGGTGCAAATTCAACAAAGGATTTTGCCCTGAAAAAGTATGTTGAAAGCCAACTATCACTCTTTCGTAAAACATTTGTCACTTTCCCTTTAGAAAGTCAAAACTGTGTTTGCTTGTGAGATTTGGCATCATCATTGTTAAGAAAGATGAAGTAAAACATGGGCTTCTTACTAATAGAGAAGATTTACTGGAGCTCCACAAATGTGCACTACTTAGGTTCTGGCTCTGTATAGCCTCTAAATTAAATATATTGTCTTTTTCTTTCCTTCCATAGGGAACTATTGGAATGCTGCCTCATTCTTTACACCATCATCCTACCTTTACTTCTCCACTTTCCAAGGGGAAACAAGTGCTGACATCTCTTTCTACTTCAAAACTTCAGCTGCTGATGGAGTGTTTCTGGAGAATCTGGGGAATACAGATTTCATCAAACTTGAGCTGAAATGTGAGTTTATTCTGTCCAGAACCCCAATTAATAACCATGGGGACCAGTGTTGGTTGGGGGGATGCCATCATTCTGGTTCTGTGCTTATAGAAAACTTGAATATATAATTATTTTCAATCTCTGTTGAAACTCAAGTGATATTGAGGTCAAAGTGATTTAGCCAGATTAAGCTAAAGTTAAGAAGTGGCATAACAGTGTAGATAGATTTAAAAAAGGCTTGAGTTCAAGTACCATCTCTGCCACATGTTAGCTGTGTGGCTAAGAGAAAGTCATTTAACCTCTTAGTGCTAAAGTAAATCTCTAAGACCATAGTGATCGATGAGGAAACTGAGGCTCAAGAAGGATAAAATATTTGCCTGATGTCACAACAGGTACCAAGTATCCAAGGTAGGATTTGAACCCAGGTCCTTTCACTCTAGAATCAGCTCTTTCTTCTGTGCCACACTGCCTCTCAATCAGCAGCAGTGGAGGGAGTTTTCCCACAAGTTCCTTGTGCTGTAAGCTTACAGATCTGGACCAAAATCCAATCTCCAGTGTGGCACTAATAGAATAAAGATTTGATGGAAAATTAATGTTTTCTGCTGTACTGTTTTGGTGAGTCCCAAGTCTGTCTGGATGCTTCTGGATATCTGGAAGTATCTTGATATTGAGTCATTTCTGTAGAATCACACAATCACATTTATTTCTCAAAACCCTCCATATTCAGAGGAAATGTGATGGTCCCTTTTGCTTCTGAAATAAACTACAAAATCCTCAGATTGATATTCAAAATCCTTCACAGGTTAGTTGCCACTATCATTTCATGCTCCCCTTTGTTGTTGTTGTCGTTATTGTTCAGTTGTTTCAGTCATGTCCAACTCTTCATGACCCCATTTGGGGTTTTCTTGGCAAACATACTGGAGTAGTTTGTTATTTCCTTTCCCAGCTCATTTTACAAATAAGGAACTGAGGCAAAGAGGGTTAAGGCACTTACCCCAGGTCACACAGTGAGTTAAGTGTTTGAGACCAGATTTGAACTCAAAAAGAAAAGTCTTCCTGACTCCAGACCCAGAGCTCTATCCACTGTGCTGCCTGGCTGCCCCATTTACAATCTCCATTCCAGTCAAATTGGAATCCTATCTATTGTGCATACACTACATTCTATTCTCCTTCTTCCATTCCTTTTGATCCTCTATCTCTGGAAGGTAGCCCTTTCTCAACTCTACTTTACCAATGAAAATCCCCTTTTTTCAAAACACAGTTAGAGAGTGTAGTAGATAGAATCCTGGGCCTAGGGTGAGGAACCCTTCCTCAGACACTAGCTATATAATCCTGGGCAGGTCATTTAACCTCTATCTGCCTCAGTTTCCTCATCTATAAAATGATAATGATAATAGCGCCAACCTCCCAGAGTTGTCATGAGAATAAAATTATACATGTAAAGCATTTTAGGAAACTTAAAAGTACTGTATAAATGCCAGCTGTAATTATTATTATTATTATTATTATTATTATTTATTATTACTAAACAACTTCAGTTTCACCTCCTCTATGAAATCGCTCCTGATTCCCTCAATCGTTAGCACTTTCTCCCTCTTTAAATCACCTTGCATTATATTGTATAGGGCTTGTATCTAACATTGTGCACTAATAAAAGCACTGAACTTGGAGTCACAGGACCTGAGTTTCAATCCCACTTGTGCTACTTAATATCTGTATGATGTTGAACAAGTCCCTAACAACTCTCAGGACCAGAATTTCTTCATCTGTGAAATGAGAGGTTTGACCAGATGGTATACCTGATCTTCCCAACTCTCAGTTTTTGCTCCTCTGTGTCCACCACCACTACCACTACCATCACAATCACCATCTCAATGGAAAGTAAACCACTTGAGAATGAGGACTTCTTGCTTTTTTGTTTTTGAATCTCTAGGCCCCAGCACAATTTGTTGCCCATAGCAGGCATTTGGTGTTTGTTGAATTGCTGCATGAGTTGAGGCATGAATTATTGAATTCACTTAAAGCCAACTGCAAAGCTATCAAAATGGAAGTTAAAGGGGGAAAGGGAAGCATTGAAGAAATGAAACTCAAGCACTGAAAGTGAGATGTCAGAGAAGATTTTGGAGAGAAATTGGGGAAAGACAATAGAAGAACAGGAAGAAAAGTAATTTAAAGGACATTTTGGAAGTTACTGGAAAACAGAGCATGGCTGATTAAATAGTTTCAGATCAATCCTTTTTTATGGTTTTCACCAACAGAATATATACTTTTGCTAAAATAAGTAATTTTCAAATGTCTCAGTGAAATGACTTTGAAATTAATCAAGTCAAAGGGATGGGGATAGAGACTAGAGATGGTACTGTGATTTCATTGATAAAGAGAACTTCCAGGTAGAGGAAACTTTCTACCAGTGCAGGTCAATCCTTTGTCTGTAAATTATAATCTTTGAGAGCTGACTAGAATACTTAGTAGTCAAAGCCAGCCAGGATGCCAGAGACAGGACTTGAACCCAGATTTTTCTGATTTTGAGGTCTCTACCCAGTATTCTACCACTAATCAAGTAACTCAAAAGCCGACTCATATACTTATCTTTTTGTCACTGGAGAAAAATAGGTTAGGCCGGGAATAACGTACAAGGATTTTTTTTTTCTTTTGTACAATTTAATACCTTTATAAATAGGATCAAAGAATCTGTGTTTTCCCTGGGACACTCACTCAACCAATGAGGAATGCAATCACTGATAATAATAATTTTAATAGCATTTATACAGTGCTTTAAGATTTGTAAAGTGTTTCACTAGTATTATCTCATTTTGATCCTTACAACAACCTTGGAAAGTAGGTACTATTTTTATCCCCATTTTAGAGATAAAGAAACTGAGGCAGAGAGGGGTTAAATGACTCACCCAAGGTCACAAAGCTAATAAGTACCTAAGGCCAAATTCTTCCTGATTCTAACTCCTGTGTGCTCTCCACTGAAGTTGAGTCACTGGTCCTCATGAGTTACGGCTAAGAAAAAAAAAATTCTTCCTTCACTAGGCAACCTTCGGATGATGCATTTCCTTTCCATCATCCCTACCTAAACTGGACTTTGGATAACAGTTGCCAAACTAGTATTTGAAGCTTTTCAGTTTTAGTAGACCTTGCATTCCACCAGCATAGCTTTGGAGAACCAAGGGTCACGATGAGGCCTTGGAGTAGTGGAGGTCCAATGGTAATGAGGCAGTTTTAAATTCCATCTGTTCAAATTGAAGGATAGGAAGAAATGAAGGAGCTCTTTAAGAAGAAAAGATATTAGAAAGGGGAAAGGGGCACCATTTGAAAAGAATGTTTTGAAAAGAGTGGCAGAATAGAGAATAAAGGCAGAGGCCCTAAATAGGAAATGTAAGAAAGTCACATGTAAGAGGATAGATAGCACAGAAGGGATATAATCATAAAATAGAAATGAAAGGATTGGATTTTTAAAGGTTACATGAAATAAAAGAGTTGAGGCTAAACGGAGAGATTATATGGCATGTGCTGCATAACAAGTTGTTGGCCAGAGCCAACATAAACCCTGCAGAAAATTCAGGGGAATAAAAGAATATGCTTGCACAAGGGAATCATTCAATTGAATTCATTCAATCAGTAAACATTTATTAAGTACCTACTATGTGCCAGGTACTGTGATAAGTGCTGGGAATACAAAAAGAGGCAAAAGACAATCCCTGCCCTCAAGGAACTTACATTGTAATGAGGGAGATAACATGCAAACAAATATATACAAAGCAAGGTATATAAAGGATAAATAGGAGATAATTAAGAAAGGAAAGGCTGGAAGGCATTCAGTAGAAGGTTCCATGTTAGTTGAGACTTAAAGGAAGCCAAGAAGGGTTTAAGGAAGAAGAGTTTTGAAACACCTGATTTCTAAGTTTAAAATCACTTGGAGCTTTTTTGGTTTGTTTTGGACCAGGACAAATTTATGTTGATGTTGGCAGAATTATCAATTTGATTTGCTTATAAACTACAGATAGCACCTTGCTGGGATGGGAGAGGGGAATGTGGGGGGCGGGAGGGGGGAGCAGAGATGGAGAGAAAAAGGATGATAAACTTCATAAGGGTAAAGGCCCTGTAGGATAACAGAAATCTTATGCCTACTGTTCTACATTTTTATCACATTGCCACTTTCCATATATTTTGTGGACTGGCCACACAGGTCTGATCTCTAAGCCCTGAACCCTCTGTGTTTTCTATTGGCTCCATGCTTTTGTTTATGCTGTTTGTTACACATTGTTTGCCCTCCCCCTTTTTACCCATTGAAATCCTTTTTCATCCTTTAAAGACCAACTGAACTGTCACCTTTTCTGTGATGCTTTACCTGATCTACCTAGTGAGTAATGCCCTTTTTTCTCTGTGACCTGACTTTGTACTTTGTTTTGCATCTTGCTAATGCTAGATAATATTGTGTATTGCAGTTATCTGTGATTAGTCTTTTCCCTGAACTTGATTTTAAATCTCCTGAAGTTGGAAATTGTCTTATCTAAATTTTATATTTATTCTGGTACACAGTAAATACTATAGGTGCTTAATAAATGTTTATTGTATGAATGGATGCAAATCAAAAAGAGGTTATAGAGTATTCTGAGAGGTTTGAGAAGGGAGTAATCACTTTTGGGGGTAGAGGTGAAATGGGAAAGGGGCAAGGGAATGATAGGTAGGTAACATTTTGGTAATTCCATACATGTCCCAATAGGTATCCAGTGGCAGACCTGGGATTCAAATTGAATCTCAATGCAGCAATGTTCTTTCCTCTATACAGAGTTGCCTCCTGGAATATATGCTATTATATGTCACTGAAAAAACAGTTAAGAGCAACAGAATACCAGATTCAATATGTGTTTATCTGTCATCAGTAAACAGACAGGAATTGTCTCCTGCTGAACAGTAAAATCCAAATACGGAAAGATCACTCGATTTGAAGTCAAATCACCTTGCTGAGCCTTAGTCTCTTCATCTTTAATATGAGACAGTTGGACTAGATG